TCAGGGTTCCTGGACCCTAAACACAGTACCCTGCCAGGAATCTAATGAAAGCCAACACTTCCTCCTCAGAAAAAAAGTACATATATGCTCACACACAGAAAAACATTTCACATGCAAGTCAGTATTCAGAAACCTGGGAAAGTGGGGTCAGCCCAAGGAGTCTAGCTAAAATACCCTCCTCTGAACAGAGCTACTGTGCACAATCATCCTACACTGTAGACTTCTAGGTTGTCCTAAGGATTCTGTTTTTAATTGGGTAAATGGTCATTCCTCTTCTAAATCTGCTTACCCTAGTGCTAGTGAGCTTCATACCCAGGGATCAAGCCTGGGTTGTTCAGCCCTACATCTGAGCAATCTCAGATTGTACGCCGACTATGTCTTGCCTAAAATGGATTCTGTCTGCTGAGGCCCCGGGGATCCAGAGTTACAGGCTCACATTTGGCGGGGAGGGTCTGAGTGGGAGAGCAGGTAAGCGGTCAGGGTTGATGCGGCTGGGAAACTCAGTAGAGAAAAGCAGGCAGGCATCAGAGGAAATAAATCCTCTGTTTCCTTCTCCCCATCTCCAGGTCTTCCAATATCATAAGTTGTTCCCAGGTTATTCTCCCAAGCTCTAAGGCTCTGCTAGGAAAAATTCCCCCTACCCCTGGCAGCAAACTCTTCTTTTCTCCAGACTTCAGGGTCGTATCTTCCTGTTCACCCCCTATGCACAGTGTGGCTCAGTGCCTGGCCCACAGCAGGTGGGCAACAAACACATATTGAAATGATGTATGGATGTGCCATGTCTGCCCATCACAGATTCAAGATCATCTCTGGAAGTAGCAAGAAGAAAAGGAATTTAAAAAAATCTCTCCCCACCTTGCAGGTTTCACATTATCCCAGCACATTTTCAGAGGTTTCTCTCCCTTACCTGGGTATCCACAGACACGACGCTCTCATAGGCTTGCGCAGGCACCAGCTACCTTGCCACAGGCCATCCCTCTGGCCACAGCTGGTGTGGTCTCTGTGGGTCATGACCAGGCTCCCAGGAGGCTGAAAGCCCCTTCTTGTGTTTCCTGGTTAGCAAGCAGCCAGCCTGCCCCGCCCACAGTCCTCCTCCCCTCCCATAAGGACACCAATTGGGAAAATGCAGAATTTAAATGATCCCACAGGAAGAAAATCAACATCTCTTAGAGACCAAATCCTAGGACCAGAGTAGAAACTGAACATTCTGGAAGCGATAATTGGTCTCATTTATCTAAATTTAGAAGGTCTAGAAAGGGAAAGAGTAACTATTAAGACATGTTATTTAGAAGAAGATAAGCCTTTAATCAAACAGATGAGTCAAACCCAAACTCGAACCAAAATCCTGCTCAAATCAGGGGTTTGAAATCTAAGTTCCTTTGGGGATAAAAGTCAGATTGTATTTAACTTGAATATGAATAAGAAATTTTACGAAAAGAATAAGCTCTACCAACAAAAATAGGCCAACCAATAACTGTAAAAAAAAAAAAAAAAAAAAACACTGAAAAGTCATTAGCTGCAAATCAGAAATATTTTGAACAAAAAATGACGCCTATGAGCTGAGAGACAGCTGAGTTCTTTGAGCTCACGGTGCTCTGAAATCACCTAGGACATGGAACCAGATCCGGTGAATAGGCGCCCACTGCCTTGCACTCCAATATCGTCCCCACCCTAGGTGTCTCTGAATGGCCTGGGTCATGCAGCTTATCCTCCCCAGCCTCAGTCTTCTGAACAGCAAAGTGGGACTGATAACCTCTCACTTCTACCATCTTTAGTTCAGTTTCCTTCAACAAACCTTTCCTGAATGCCTGCCCTGTGCCTGAGGCTGTCCTAGGTAACGTCAATGCAAAAATGAATAAGACATTGTCCCCGTCATTCTGGAAACCCACTGGTTATGTGTAAGGGTGATGGTAGGGAGATGTCCAGGGTCCTAAAGCCTGGGGCTTGGGGGAAGTGGCACCCCTGCAGGTGAAGAAGAAGGGAGGACATTCCATTCAGAAGGAACCTCAATGGGAGCACAGAGAAGCAGGAGATCATCCAGTGCAAGGGAGGAGCACAGGTGATTTGGTCTTGTCAGAACCCAAGGGCAGGAGAGTCAGGTCTTACAATATCAAAAGTAGTTAGTTCCCAAATTATTCTCGCAAGAATAATTTCACATGAGACAGCCCATGAGGCTTCACAGCTGGGGAGGCCCCAGGCCGGAAGCTGTGAGAGCTGAGCTAAGCATTTCAATGCTATCCTGTGGGTGGAGGAGCACCATCTTAGGGTTTCCAATATAAAAGTGACAGCTGTTTTGGCAATTTGGAACAATCAATCATTTTTCCACAAAAAGGTTTCAGAAGAAAAAATTAAATAACAAAGGAGAAAAAGGGTGAATCTAAAAACAATTAAAAGTCTTCATGAAATTGACTATATAAGTGACTTCACTTAAGAATAATGATCCCTGTTAAAGTGGCCCCAGCCAGCCAGTGTGCTATAGGCCTGAGCTCAGGAAGAAGCTGAGATCTTCTCAGCATCCTCCCTTGGTGGGTTGAAGACAACTGTCCTCAGCCTGACTGGCAGCCCCTGCAGGCTCCTGCTGAGATTTCTTTTACTGGGTCTGTAAGCGATCTCTGCTCTGGTGCACGCATCTTTATACCAGTGGACCCTTTGGTAATCTGTACCTGGTTCAGTCCACAGGGTGAACTCAGTGCTCTCTGTCAATCCCTTGCTGATCTTCATAAAGTACAAAAGGATAACATTCCTTGAGAATTGTTAAAGACACCTGAACTGGGAGGGTCCCAGATACTTATAAATGTCCAGATTCAGGCCCAGTATGGGTGGGTCGGCACATACATACAAGATGAGTTTCAAACAGGGCCTGCCTAACCACCTGCTATAATGAAATTCTGTGTGTCATGTTAGCCATTATTTCTAACTACTGAGCTTCTGGAAATTCTACACCTTTCCAGATAAAAGATTTAGAGCTAAAAATGATAGGTCAGTCACAAAAAAATAGCCTTCAAATGCTATAAAATCTCCCTCAGTGTCTCTATTTCTCTCTATTTTCCTTCATAACACTTACCACAATCTGATGATACATTATATACCTGTATATTTGTTTATTATATCTTTCTCAAAACTGTATAAGAAGAAAAAGATTCTATTTCCTGCAATACCCTCAGAGCCTAGAATAGTATCTGGTCAAAGTAAAGTCTCAATAAACATATGTGAAATAAATGAATGATAGTAAGACACCTATGATCCACTAGCAGCCCTGATTTTTTTTAACTGTTCCCTACCTCACCAAATTAAGAATTGGTACTGATTAGGGGGAAAGTAAGAATGACTGACAGGTTTTATTGTATTCATTCATTAACTTGGTTTTTGAGAACCCACAATATGCCAGGCATTTAAAGCAGTTTCAAAACTGATATACAGGTTAGAAAATAGATACTCAGTTCCAAAAAACGGAAGGGAGTATTGGGGAAATCTGTAGCCTTCAAAAGAGGAGGTCCAGGTCGTATACATCCTAGAATGTGAGGGAATTTTACCAAAATTACTTATTCACCACAATAGCAGATGTGGGAGAGAAAGATGAAAGCTATCGATTGCAATAAATAGCTCTCCAAATCCTTTCTTTTGTAACATCAATCATTTCAAAATAACCGAAAAATTAGGAGAAAGTCCCTAGTCAGTACAGAGGATACAGTGACTTTTAAAGAACTAAAATGCCAGGCAGAATTGAGAGCTTTCAGCCTGAATACCAAATAGAAAGGTGCAAGAATACTATTGATGGAATGCACGCAGCTATAAGAAAAGCATTTGATACAGTGGTACAAAGTGTTACACTCAAAATTAATTCAAATTGGCTTAGTAAGGAGCGCTGTCACATAAATTTAAAGCTTGCTCAAAGTCTGCAAACAAAGGGTAATGACAAATGGAAATGTATTGGGTTGGGGGAGGCAGGGTACATGGGGGTCATCTTTATTAATGATCTGAAAAAAGGAGAGTAAATAGCATGTTAATGAAACTTGCAAATGATGCTAATTTGGGAGGTGTTTCTCTGATCACTGTGGACAGAGAGGGAATGTAAATGAACCTTAAGTGGTAATAAATATGAAGAGGAAATAACACAGTGAGATACAAGTCAGAAAATGCAAACCATTCCCAATGCAGTGACTCGCCCACTCCCACCCCAGAGCTCTTTGCCCCTTGTGTTTGCAGGATGGTGCTGGGGAGGAAAAGAATATGATGCTAACTCAAAAAGGTTTAATCTAACAAAATATTTCTTGCTTGTGCAATTTTTTTCACCGGCCCTTTAAAATTTCACAAAAGGCTGTCCCTGGGTTCAGAGTAAGAGTAGTGCTCTTAGATGATGAGGCTCCATAAATTACAGCACTGGAGTGGCTGTTAAAAGAAAACAACCAAATAATGAGGGGAATGGAGAGATTGATTTATAAGAAATGACCCAAAGGGGTAGACGTTTTTTAATTGATGGCTAAGTGGTAACATGATAGTGACCTGCTAAGATCTCTCCATAACGAATAACCAAGGGAAGGAAATATTTAGTATCAGGTGAGGAACTTCTTCGTTCTCTCTGGCAGACACTGCCTCTCCCTGGAGGCTACCATTGCACTGAGTTTTGCCAGCCCAGTTCTGGGCTTCACCTCTGAGCAGTCCAAGCCCTGTCCCACTTCACCCTCCATAGTAAGATGAGAAAGAGACGCTTTCTAAACACCCTCTCTGCTTATCCCCACGTGCACTGCTAGTCACACCCTCTTCACTTTTGCCCCTGACCAGATGAATGGCATCAGTTCAGGGGAAAGAAGGAATTCCAGCAGGGCACAGACACACTGGGAGTGGACACCAACCCCAGCAAAAGGACAGGGGAGGGAGGTGAGGGCCCTCAAGCTGCCATCGTCTTCTCAAACAAGCTTCCTCCCACTGCAAGAAAATGAATCTCATAGCTCTATGCAAATAGATAATTGTATGCAAATATAAGTTTTGATATGGTTTTTATTTCCCAGCAGGTTCAGCCACCCGAATTTATGGCTGCCAGCCAGAGATCTGTCTGGGCTGTGCCAGTGGCAGTTTGTGGATGGAAACTGTGCCAGATAATGCCATGAGCTTCGTTCAACATAGAATCCTAGAAAATCAAAGTGAAAGGAAGCTTAGAGGCCTTTTGTCCCATTTCTTTGTGCTACATTTGAGGACTTCGAACTTTATAAAGTTTGTTGAATGCAATTCCATGAAGAGAGGCTGCCTGGGATGGAATGGCATTGTTTTAGTAATAACACTGGCAGCTTAGCAGAGACCTTGGCTCCATAGTCTCTGAGACGCAAGCCATAGTCTTTCCTCTAACCCAGCTACCTCAAGAAAACTGGGAACACTGGGACCTTATGCCACAGAAGGGAGGAAGCTTTTCCAATGACTGAAGCAGACATCTCAAACCTAGGATTTCTGGATAATTCCTAGATGGGTCCAGAATGTGGGCAGTCCTGCCGATTTTTTCATATGCCAGCCTTGGTACCCATAAGGCAAGCACCAGGGCCTTTGTTGACTTTGTCAGGTCCTGGCGGTGCTCCTCTGTCACTGTGCCTCTCCTTGGCCTCATGTCTCCAAGGTTCTGATGCAGGTTCAGAGAATATGGGCAGAAAGTTACCACTCCTCATGCTTGGGTAGCCCCAGAGAACATTCAAAGCATGTGCCACCTTATTAGGTTATCTCAGCCACCCTGTGAAGCAAGCAAGGAGTTGTTAATAACCATCTCCATTTATTCAGTCAGCAAACATTTACTGCACACCTACTATGTGCCAGGCTCTACTGGAGATACAGCAATGAGCAAAATAAGCAAGTTCCCCAATATCATTTCATGTGGAGAGAGGTGAGGCAAACAGAAAACAAACAAGTATACACAAAAAAATAAGATGGCGAGAGTAAGTGCAATAAAAATAAAAATGTGATAATGAAGGAAAACTAATTGAGGGATGGGAAAAGGGCGGTTGTTTTAAAAGGAGGTCAGGGAGGCCTCTCTGAGGAGGCGCATCTAGCAGTACCTTGTGATAAGAAAGAACCAGCCATGCACAGATCAGAAGATGGAGTGTTCTGAGAGACAGCAAGCGCAAAGGCCCTGGGGCCAGAATAAAGTCAGGCCATTTGAAAAACAGAAATTCCAGTGGCTGGAAGGTCATGAAGGAGATTGGGCTAGAAGAGGTGAAGCCTGGAAGTGGGCGGAAGCCAGATCACGCAGGAGCAAGTAGGACATGGCAAGGACTCTAAGTGTCGCTCTGAGGGCTGAAAGAAGGAACCTCCACTTTCCCCTTTCATTTTAAATGGATGATGCCCTAAATCTCAGAGGGTTTCATTCGTGCCTCAAAACATCACTCAGCCAAGCCATGGAGCAGCAAGAACCCAAGCCCAGGAACTCTGACTAAGGTTCTTCCCTTATTAAATAATTTCTTATGAGCACCTATGAAAGCAAGAAAACTCAGTCCTGTGTCACCCCTTTCCCAGATCCTCTGACAAGGCTAGGCAGCAAGAGGGCAGCTTCCTCACATAGGCCATAAGCCCTCAAAAAATGGCTGTCTCCCAACCAGGATTGCATCCTTCACAGCTCCCATTAAAATGAAACTGAATAAGAGGCAGATGGAAATGCGTATCACTGTCTAAGAAGGAGCCAAGAACTGCCCAGATAAATTTCTGTTAAGTTCTTAAAAAGTCAATGGCTACCTTGCAGGCACCCATGCAATCTTTTCATGTAATCACACCCTGGCAGGATGGTCAAACGTGGCTGTCTCACACTGGATGAGAGATGCAGGAAACAAGGACGAAGCGGGATTCTGTTGGTCCAGAGAAGCCTGTCTCACTAAGACTCCGTCCCCAGGCTGGCAAGACTCTGCAAACGAAACCATGGAGTCCAGCATCTGCCATGGTTCATCCCTGTCTGAACCACTCTTCATCCTTTATGCTGTGGTAACGTCAGAGACCCACATGTCAGGCCACAGTGAGGCAGAAAAGCCAGCAGAGCCATTGCCCCGTCTCAGAATGCTGCCCAGTACAAACCCCCACTCTCCAGTCCTCAACTCCCAGCCTGGCTCCCAGATACTCTGACTCATTATCATTTGCAACCTTCCTCCTTGTCAGTCTCATTCAGTTCCTTCTCTAACTTTCAAATAGTAGCCCAGAGACTCAATTCTCTATCCTAATTCCAGACAAAGGAGCTTCCATCCAGGGCCCTGGATTCAGCCCAGTGGGCTCTCTTATGCTTTCCACCAGCATCCACAGTCCCCTCACTGTCTGCCTTGAGTTTGGCTCCCACTGGGTTCTCTTTGCACAGCCAGGCCCCATCTCATCATATCAGTCACTACCTGATGCTCCAAAACACCCAGAGTCCCGGGCTGTTGACCCAGCTTAGGTGATCAGATCCCACAGGCTTTCTAACAGCTCTCATTGGTATACGAATCCAAAAAGAGCCCAAAGCTGTGTAGAGTCAGGACCACCAGTGCCACTGTAAACTTCCCAGTTCACATGGGCTTTATACTTTCAGACAGCAATGGAGAATCAATGGTGAATCTCGGGATTCTTGAAAAATCTATTCCAGGATTTTGATTGGATCTGTAAGAAATTGAGAGAACCCTGCGTTCTGGACTGGGCATTGCCTAAAGCCAGAAATCCCTTCTCACAGCCGCTATTCTGGGTCTACATATCCCCTTTAGCATCCTCCAGGAAGTTACTAGCATATCAGGGATAGGATTTCTCCATTCCAGAGTTCCCAAAATGTAGCCATCCTCTATGGCAAGCTCTGGGGCTTCAGAAAATTCACTGCAGATCCTAATGATGGTCCTGAGGAGCCAGCAGTGAAGCAGAAACCTTTATGGTCAGAAGTCTCAGCTCAGAAGTGCACTGATCTCATAGGGATCAGTGCCTATATTAGAAGTCCAGCCTCTGGAAGTGCAGTCCTCTAGCCAAGCCAGTGAGTAGCATACACCAGCTCTCTCTGGGGCATGGAGGGAGAATGATCTTGAGCTCTGAGTACTCTGTGAGTTGCAAGTAAGTAGCATTCTCAGCCCGGAAAGTGAAGATGGGTTGAGTACCAGATGGCCACCCCACCACAGATCTCCCAGCCTCATCTGCCACCAACCCCTGGCTTGGCCCCAGATCCCTAACATGAAGTTAAGATTTCGTAAATAGCTACACATCAGGTTCTAGGGCCCCTCCTTCAATGTGCCCATGGTCACTATGATAGTTAAGTTTATGTGTCTACTTAACTGGATCAAAGGGTGCCCAGATATTTGATTAAACACTAATTCTAGGTATGTTTGTGAAGGTGAGATGAGCATTTGACTCCATGAACTAAGTAAAGTAGATTGCCCTCCCCAGTGTGAGTGGACACCCTCCAATCCACTGACTGGCTGAACAAAACAAAAGGCCTCTTTCTCTGCTTTACTGCTTGAGCTGGAGCATCTCGCATCATCGCCCGTACTCAGATTGAAATTTACACCACTGGCTCCCCTGGTTTTCAGGCTTTCAGACTTGAACTGAATTATACCACCAGCTTTTCCGGGTCTCCAGCCTACAGATGGTAGACCATAGGATTTCTCGGCCTCCATAATTGCATGAGTCAATTCCTCATAATAAATATCCTTGCATTCATACACACACGCACACACACACACACACCCCAATAGGAGATTTATAGATATAGATAAAGCAATATATAGATATATAGATATAGATGTATGTTAGTTCTGTTTCTCTGGAGAGCCCTGACTATTACAGTCATCTCACCAGCAAGAGCCACAGGATCCAGTCCATTGCTGGCAGTAGCATTTGGCCCTGTCACATGGCTTAGCACCTCCAAGGGCCCTAAATACATGCCTAGTGAATGACTGGGTAGTTGGAATGGCCATTTGTTCATCACCTCTTGTTTATACATCCTTGTCGGCTTGTCCCTAGTGGGATGCCCCTGAGGTCAGATGTATCAGTGGTCAGGGACAGTCACACCACAAGAATTCCACGAGGCCTTCATTATTGAATAATACTGGTTGGGGGGAAAGCCAGCGGACTTGTGTTCTGGTCCTGGTGCTGTCAAACTCCCTGTTTGAGCCTTGGCAAGTCTGTCCCTCTTGTAGCCTCTGGCTTCTCACCACTAAACTGGAGAAGGTGCTGAAAGACACAGTTTCTACAATTCCTGGTACACTTGCAGGTGTGCCTCTTCTGTCTGGTCCTTTCTCAGACCTCCCTCCTTTTGAAGATCAGACACCTGTTTCTATGCCCCATCTTCAGGCTCATCACTGACTATGAGTTAACCAGTGGAAACTGGCCACAGAAGCTCAGATGAGACCTTTTGCGGGATACAGAGACTTTGAGGATTGATGGGCCCTCCAGCATGGTAGTTACAAATAGAATTTCTCATATCTCTCAGAGTTGACTGATCACAATAACTCTCAGGCAACCTCATTCTCACCCCCTAGCCCCCAGGTTCCCAAACTAGGGGCAGGAAAGGGCCTTGAACTATACGATGGAGTCAGCAGCACTTGCCTCATAGAATCATCGTGACAATTAAAGGCAACACTGTATTTTTCACATTGTGAGCACTCAACAAACATTACCTCTTATCATTTCCTTTCCAGTTTCATTTCCAGGACACACTTTCTGCAATGCCCTCCTCAGTCCTTGGTCCTCTTTGTGCTATACTACCATGGTGACAGTGTCTCCCCGACGGGGCCCTTAGACTTCAGGTCAAGGTCAACTCTGGTTTCTCTCTGTGTTCTTGGGACCATCGTAGGACCCGGCACCAGGTAGTCTTTGCAATAGAAAGAGATGCTCTTTCTTGAAACTGCCTTGATTCCCACCTGCTTCCCATTTATCACACCAGAGGAAGGTAGAGGTAACAGGAGGAAGGGAATTGACATCTTGGTTGTACATCTTCAGTAGGTAAGACACTGTACTAGATTCTCATTCCATGCTGGGGTAAAGAGACTTGTGGCAAATGACTTCATTATAGCCACAGACCTTTAAGAAGCTTAAAATCTGCATTTCGACCGAAGCAGATGCATGGGAAGCAAATACCCTCATAGTAGGCACAAACCTCAGTCCACAAATTTGGGAGTATAAGAAATCTTACTCTATTTTCTACAGCTTAATTTATTTTTAACTTTTCAAACAGGTTAATCAAATAGGTTGGGGTTTGCTGCAAGCAACATATTAACCCTGAAATCTCTGTGTGACATAACGTCGGCTTATTTCTAATTCATGCTACATGTCTAGCGCAGGTCGGCTGGAAAGCTGTGCCTTCTACAGTCACTCAGGGACCCCAGGATATAAAAGACTCCTCTGTCCTCTCAATATGGTGACAGAAGTAAGAAGCTGGAGGGTCACAGAAGACCTTTATCTGCTTTAGCATAGAAGTAACTCGCGTCACTTCCATGCACAGCTCATTGATCAGAACTAGTCACTTGTTCTGCCTTACATACAAGAGGCTTGGAGTCTTCCTTCATGCTCAGGAGGAAAAGTGAAACAGGATGTGGTCTCTGCAACACTAAGTAAACCTCCATTTCCCACTCCCAGAGGTTGTAACACATTTCTAAGTTCTTACCCTGTGCCAAGATATTGAAGAGGGAGATTCCCACCTGTACACATGAGTTACCAGTGAGATGGCTGCTGCCCCTTTCCATGTGGCCCCTTCATGACTTGCAGCTCTCTATTTCTTTTCCAGTCTTGGTATATGAGCCT